TGTCGACGTCAACAGCAAGATTAATCAATTACAAATACGTTAGAACTTCTCAAAGGGTTTTCACAAGACCACTGCGAAGTGTAAGAAAACGACCAAAACTACGAAATCGAAGATGTCGTTTACGGCATAATCTGAGGCAACGCGGCGATATAACTATGAATTAAAACTCCAGGAATATCCATGAGCAGTTACAATGCCTACAGAAATTTTACTACTAGACAATTTTTCAAGAAAGCCGTTATGAGGATGAATTTTCTGGAATTCCAGTTCCGTAAGAGATCACACTGAAGGAGCAGTAAAGTCGAACTATGCTATACAACAGCATCTTGTGCCGGAAGTTGTAATTTGCTGTAATTCAAGTGATATCATGTACGCAGGAAGACAGACGTCTGGTGAGCAGACTGGAGGAGAAATTGCGAAAGCGAAGGGTGGCTCTATTCGTCTCCATGGACAGAGAGTGCAAGAATCCTGCATTTGACCGTATGAGAATCATCTCTATGGATACGGACCAGTTTGTGATCTAATCAGTGGGACTTGAAGTGTTGCTACCATGAACTGTGAGGTTTAGGATCAAATTTTATTTGCAAGGTATCTTGAATCATATGACTCTCCGATATTCTCTCCTCTTTTTTTAATAGTGGGCGCACTTGACTTATTTCAAAATTACAAAGTCGCAAACCAATCTACAGTGCATCTTCGACACAATTCCCCGAATGATTAACTGGCATATGATGTTCCTGCTGTTATCTTTTCATCCTGTGCCGATATATGCATTCAGGGGTATTGGTCACATATTCCTCACTTAGCCAACTTTATAGAATCTCCGCTCAACCATCGAAATTATGCTTTCTTGTTTCATACCATGACACATGTGTCATCACATCGTCGGAATTAACCTTATTTGTTGCAGGCTTCTTCTTATATCGTTTCTTATCTCATAGTCTTCCAGCTATATTTAAAACTGCTATTTCAAACCCTGTATTCCAAAACTGACTTTCCTTTAACCTCGGTATTACTAATCAACGATTAGTCTTTCTTTGATGAGCATACACGAGGTATATTAATATATTTATTGATTTAATTTTGTCTGGGAGGATAGCATCACTAGCTCGATACATCGGTACGCCACCGCGATTATAAAGATCAGATATGCATTCAGTCACCTCCAACGATACTTAGTGAAGTCGAATGCATGGCGCATCCCTCAGGGATTGATCAACGCCGAGAGCTTTATCCTTTTATCCTTTAGTTTAATTAATTTACTAATTTATCAATTAACAAGTTCATTAATTTATTTAATTAATCTATTGATTTATTAATTTAATTTAAAAATTTATCAACCTCGTGTAAGGTCATCGGAGAAAGAACACTTTCAAACCCTATATTTGCGTATTTAAATTATTCACGTTGCGTTGAAGTTCCTTGACATCAATACTTTGAGAACTTCATAGAAACTAACAACTTCTTTGTATTCAAAAAATTTTAAGCTACGTCAAAGCATTTTAGGTATTACGTGTATCACCTATCTTCCTGTTTATGTTCGAATGACTGGGGCTAGCGCCAGTAAATCTTCCACTTCTTGCTGTAGCGTGCTAGAGTAGCGCAGTGGGTCCTGCCCGTTCTGTGAACCTATTGAACATCATGTCTTTCTTCTAGGCTTTCGTGAAGAACTCTGACTACCGTGCTTTTGGTCTTCCCGCTGTGCATTTGACATCCGGCGGAGTCCAGTCGCTAATGGCTCTTTTCCATCGGTTGTCATTCTGACGCATATCTATCATGTCTGTTCCTTCTGGTCTTCAACAGTTTGTCGCATGGAACGTCGCCCTTGATTTTAGATCGTAGACGTGGGTCGGAGCTTCGGATCCTTCCCTCACTTGTGTGACACAGGATAGTCCGAGCATCGTCTGCGTCTCTTTCGACTGCGCGTTCGATAACGCTAAGCGATCTTGCACACTGATTACTCAGCGACCAAGTCTTTGACGCATACGTTAGAGCAGGAGGAATCGTGGAGTCGAAAAGGCGGGCACGGAGTGGGGAGTTCTTTGTCATTCTGACTACATCATCGAAACTCTTGAAATCTCCCACAGCCGCTATCTTTTTCTACTCAACTTTGGAACTAAGTCGATCATCATTTGACTTTCTGACCTAGATAGACGTAGCTGAAACATTTGGAGATTTCACTTCATTTCGTTGAGCTTCGTCGAACATACGAAACCAATCCGTTTCTCATGAACATCGTCTTTGTGAGATTTAGTCGAAGACCAATCTTTCCGCAGGCTTTATCAAAGTCGGCAAACATTCGTTCCACTTGGCTAACATTTGGTGTTATAAGAACGTTATCATCAGGAAAGTGAAAATGGTGCAACTGCCGGCCATCGACTTTCACTTCCATGTCCCACTCTAATGTTCGCATGACGTTCTGGTTAGAGAATGATGATCTATTGGATGTGAAATTTCTATATATCTCACGAAGAATCTTTATACACTAGGAACGCCCTGGCTATCCAAGGCTTCCATGAATGTTTCTATCTTAACTGAGTCAAAAACCTTCTTTAGATCGATAAAGATGGGACAGAGCGGTCACTTGTATTCTTGAAATATTTCTATGAATCGTGTTATCGTGTGGAAGTGGTCCATCGTATGAATCCTTTTCAAAACACTGCTTGCTCACATGGCTGTCCTTCGTATAATGTTCTGTCTACCCTATTGATAATGACTTGACTGAAAAGTTTGTGGACGACAGACAGTAAGCAGATTGGGCGATAGTTGCCGATATCGTGTAGGTCGTGTATCGTGCGGTCCTGCTGGTTTTCCACTGAATAAAGGCCCTGCATTCAGACAGGTAACGTGTGAAGAGCCGAGCCAGTGTGTTTACGAGGACTGGCGAAAGGTTCTTTAGGTGTTCTGGTCCTATCCTGTCCGGACCTGGTGCTGTTCGATTTTTCACCGACGAAATGGCATGTCAGATTTTGGAACGGAGAACCGGTGGTAATATCCTTCTCCATTTATTTCATATGAGGGCAAGAGGACGAGGTTATTGAAGAGATCTACGTAGTAATCGTCAATGGATTTCTCCGTTTCCTTTGTAGACGTTTTAACTGTTCCGTCTCAGCTTCGGAGTGCAATCATCTTGGTTTTGTAATTGGCGAACTTTCGATAGGCTTTGCGAATTCTTTTCCCACACTGTGTAGCTTCAACCATAAGTGCTGCTCTTCGCTGTTTAAGTTCTTCTTTTATCACCTATCTACATTGCTTTGCAAGTTGGAGCGTGAGCTGATGGTTGCCTCTACCTTATGTGTCATGCGTTTCCACTCTGCCCTATCAGCTCGAGTGCATCTTCTGGAGACAGACGTTTTTTGGTGATTTTCGAACTCCCAGCTTTCATAGCGCCAACGTGAAGATGTTGATTGAGCCAACCGTATTCCTCGTCGTTGTTACCGAGAACTGCATCTTCCCAACAGCCGACTAATGAATTGAATAAATTCTGTTTTGTGGTGGTTCTGGGTCTTTCTTTTCTGAACTTAGCGACTTTCTTCTCCTTGCGCGAGAACTGGAATCTTGCACGAAGAAAGCTATGGTCTCGTACCATGAAAACTTTTAAGGCAACGGCGAAATCGGTTAAGCAAAGCCGTCGATTTATTATGGTGTGGTCTGTTTCGTTATAGTACTCTCCATTGGAAGACTACCGCGTCCTGCGTTGAAGCGGAGCTTCTGGTATTGTGGGTCGCCATGAATAATCTTGGTCGTCATGATAAAATCAGATGACCATTCATACTCGTACCATTCTAATCCCTTGGTCTCAGTATGACATTCTTCAGACGTTCTCTTAGGTACAACCTTAGCGTTAATATCTCCAACGATGACCTTGAAGAATGTATGGTCTTCTCTGTAGAACTTCTGCAAGTCCACATAGAATGCTTCGATTTCGTCTTCGTCATAGTTTGATGTCGGTGCGTAAACGACGAAGATTGTCAAAGCCGATATTGATCCACATCTCTTCAACCGTAAGCGTACCATTCAAGTTGCTAGTTGTTTGAATGAATCGATGTTGTTGACTGCCAAACTTGTGTTAACGAAAACGCCGAAGCCACCGACTCCTCTACTGTCGCATGTTCCGAGGAACAGTTCTTCTCCAGTCTCAAAGATAGTATTCAATGGGTAGCGTCTTCTCGTTTCCGCCTATCCGTTGACGTCGTACGTTATTTTTCTTGCCTGCAGGAGGAGGTCTTCTATCGAAAACTCAGATGCAGAAGAGTGTGCATTGTAAGTGCAGGTCGTCACCTTAGTCCTTTGCGAATTAGGTAGTCTGTATTGGCTCTGAGATTTCAGCCCACTGTTTCAGGGTCGTAAGAATGAGGCCCACTTATTTCACCGTATTTAGCGTTTGATACCTACGTATAACTTGTTGAGCCGTAAGCATGAGGGCTGTGTATACTCAAGGGTAACTTGTCAGTCTCTCCCAGAGTAGACATGAAGCTTATTTGTTGGAGGCGACTTCTATTCGCCTCCCATATACTTCCCTGTCACAGATTGCAAGGTTTTGGCCGAATTGACTCGTAGAATACAATACACATAAACGAGAACACATCCACGCATACATGCATCAACACTTCCTCGCAGACAGAAGGTATGTGTTAAACTGATGTAGCAGAAAAACAGACTTCATCTTGTGGTTCCACCTTCATCTCAGAGAAGCATAATGTTGTTTTTAGCTTGCGGTTAACCCTCTCACTGTGAACTGAGGACGCTCCACGTTGCTTCGGGACTAATAGGCATAAGATCTATTTATGAGGATGATCCTTTTTTAAAGTATGAGAACAAAAATATATGCAATGATCGATCTCAGTAACGCTTGATATGTGGACAGTCATACTAGCGGAAATTTATAACAAACGCTAGACATTAAGTTGATTCTGAAGGTTGCTTTAATTTCACATATAGTTAATTAAGCGAGTGTTGCGTGGATTTTCGTAGTATACGAAGAAGTCTAGTAACAATTGATGGAAAAAGTATCGGATTCTGATCCTGGGTATTCAGGACTGGCGTTCACACGAGAGTGTTCGCTTTGCCCTCCAGGAACCTCGTCTAAGGGAGGTGCTGCTGAGTGCTTCCCATGTCCACCCGGGTATTTCTCACCTAAAGGAGCTGCTAAGTGTGGCCAGTGCCCCCACACTCATTTCTCAGGTCAGTAGAACAACACTGTCTTTTTGAATAATTCTTTCTACTTCTGTTCAGCAAACACGAGGTGTTATTTTATTTCTTTATTTACGTACAAGCTGACGTTTCGGCGGATTTCGCCTTCCTTCAGAGCCTGGAAAGGTCAAGCTGATTGCAATCTACACGGCCAAACACTTCCATAGCCAAACAGAGAAAACGCTGAACCAAAATTTCAATCACATTGAACACAGAGTCTTTGCACACTCACCGCTTTCTATGAGTCTTTCACTAAATATGTCACGTGGAGACCAACCGCACAGAGTTCACACGGAATTGTATTGTACCCCTCCCATCAGAATAACAGTCCTATATACTGTCCAATATCACGCGTGATAATGAGGCACTCCTTCCTGCGGTTCATTTTCGGATTCTTGGAATTAATCCGGAATTCTGGATTGTCTTTTCTGCCTTTTTAGTTTTCGAAAAACTTTTTGACGGACCTCCTCATTTTCAGAAACTATTTGAATTTAGGTCGTAGTTTTTCATGCAAGGTAGGGGATTCAGCTCTAAACTGGCCCTAAAATTTATATTCTAGGCCCAAAAGCAGAACGCTGCACCGAACGTCCTGCTTGTCGTTCTTCGGATTACTATCCAATCACTGAACCATGTACGAATGGGACAACTCGCACCACATACAAGAAGGTTCAACCGGCAGTATGTAGAGACGACATTCCTGGAGCTGCTACGGTAATCTCTTTCATTTCAACCGTTGGTATAAAAATGGCGATTTTAGTACGTAATTTACTCTTTTTGTTTATTAGGCTGAAGTGAATTTTAATCCATTTTAAGCTTTGGTTCCTTCAGAAGTTTTTAAATACGTTATCTATCGAAATGGATGGGGACATACAGTTCGCTCTATATGATAGTCCTTTAGGAATCCATAGATCGTACCACTTCACACACACGAGTAAAGATTTGAGGATGATAATGATTCGATGGAGCACCTATAGGATAAGAGCGTAAAGTTATGCTAAGCGTTTTCAGAATTTCCCGGATATTTCAGCTGCCCCCACCTAGTGCCACTCGGCCGTGTCCTCTATGCAACCCTGGAATGGCTAAGGATGCTAGTGGTATTTGCACCTTCTGTCCAGCAGAGCATTTCTCTGAAGGCGACGGTAAGTGACATTCGCCTCCTGATCTCATATATATTGGCGAATGTTACCTCAAGTAATAGAATGATTTCGAATTCCTCAATTAGTTACGATATTCGAGATCGCATTTGACAGAACCATTTAATAGGTTTTCACCAGTGACTGAAATTGGATCCTTTCCAATTGGGCTACAGTGCATAGTTCAGATAGTCAATCGTATGTAAAGTTGTGTAATAATTCGTGTAATAATGCTTAACTGCCTTTAAGCTCAGTATTGGTTCTATGCAGAATATTCCCGGAAGGTATGAAGTATTCCTGAAGATAAGGTGCTTTATGGGTCTCCCAACGGTTTACCGCCTTATCGTAACTGGGAGATGCTCCTGGGTGTCCGACTGCGATGTACAGCGGGGATTCATCACCCCGGTAGGGCCTCCTCCCAAGCTAAGAAGGAGTTCGGCATTTCCGCCAACAAGCCCAGCTAAGAGTAAACCAATACTAGGATCCATCACCATCCTGGTATCAAATTAGTCACAAGGTGGCAAATCCTCTGATCCACAAGAGCTGCGACTGCCTGTGGTGGTGAAGACCTAGGGCAGAAGGTGAAGTTGACCAGGCTGACCTTGGGAGTTCAGGGAACCACAATGGCTTAACCAGCAAATCTCCGAAAAATTGAGATTATGCTGGAGCCCACATAGCTAGTGAAGACAGGCTATCCAAGTATCCAAGTATATAAGTAAGGTACTTTGTTAACGCAGCAAACTGCGCTTATTGCAGTGTGTCATCGCTGTCCGGTGGAGACGATTCCGAACTACGGTTATCAGTTCGTACAGTGGGATACATTGCCGCCGAATATCATCACTCGCTGCGAGTACATTAGTGAAGGTAGGCGATTTCTCCTGGTACTAACTGGATGGATGCATTCGGAATTTTTGCTTCTTTGTTGAGCTGTTACGACATTACTACAATGTTTATTTCAATGTGGCTATCATTTCTGCGAATTTTACCTATGGTCACTTATTTTATCGTTCCATACTTGCTCATTTTTCTTTCTACGAAATCATCTTGCAAACATGATTCGTTGCGTTGAAGTAAAATTAGTGTATTGTTCGAGAAAAAAGTAGACTTTTTCTACGTATTTTTGTTGAGCAAACGCGAGGTGTTACTATTCTTTATTCACGATTAAGCTGACGTTTCGGCGGATTTCGCCTTCTTCAGAGCCGCTTTCTATGAGGCTACCACTAAGTATGTCACGTAGAGACAATGTGGTACTTCCACGTGATTTCTGTGCGGTTGGTCTCTACGTGACATACTTAGTGGAAGCCTCATAGAAAGCGGCTCTGAAGAAGGCGAAATCCGCCGAAACGTCAGCTTAATCGTGAACAAAAAATAGTAACACCTCGCGTTTGCTCAACAAAAATACGAAGAAAATCACTTGATCAATGCCGAGGTTAATAGAAAGTCGGTCGTGGNGTGGAAGTACCACATTGTCTCTACGTGACATACTTAGTGGTAGCCTCATAGAAAGCGGCTCTGAAGAAGGCGAAATCCGCCGAAACGTCAGCTTAATCGTGAACAAAAAATAGTAACACCTCGCGTTTGCTCAACAAAAATACGAAGAAAATCACTTGATCAATGCCGAGGTTAATAGAAAGTCGGTCGTGGCAGACTTTTTCTAGTTTCAAACAGTTCCCAGCCGCGGTATGTTTGGATACATTAGAGAACATCTCTTCGAGGTATACAAAGGACCATGAATCTTCAAAGCAGAACAATTGGTGGTAGGCTGAAAAATCTTGTTGGGTGTAAGTGAGAAGTACAGGAATCCTGAGTTCTTCGCTGTTAGAGGTTCAGAGATTGTGCGAGTAGATTCCATCTTTGTAAATGTTCGCCTTCCTTTATAAACATTTCTTAGCCTCTCGACTGATGATCACTTTGAAGAGGATTAACTACATAGTTGTGGTTGAAGAGAGAAATAGGTGATTAAACGAGAGGGTGATCTGTTAAGGAGGATGACGATCCTTCAACGCACATAACAATCCGTTATTATCTCCTTACCAATTATTCCACTGTAAAGTAGTCTTGTCATCATGAATGTTTTGCCAAATAACAGAGACAAAGCCTTAAAAGATGCTTATGGCTTTTGAATTCCAGAGATCTCAACAGCGTGCAATATAGGTGAGGCATGGTTGGCATCTGGCACCGCTCTCGTATCAGCTCAGTCGCTTCAGCGTGGAATCGCCATGGAATTGGAGCTAATCATTAAAGAAGGTAGAGCTATAGGATACTACCAACACTGTAACCAAAATAAAAATTGGTCGCCGGGTTTCTTGGTCAGAATGCTTGAGAAGGGTAATCTTCTAAATATAGTATTTAAACCTATCTTTCTCATGTGAGCCACTTCGAAAATGTAGGCTATAACAGTGTCTAGCAGGCCTTGAGGTTGTGAATATGGGGTTACGCTGAACATAAGTAACCTAGTTTCAAGACAGGTCAATTCACTGATTGGCCTCTCTGTCTGTGCTTCGCAGACTCGTCTTATATCTTTCTACTTGTGTTGACATATCTATGCGTAAATACATAGGTGTTTTTGCCTGTTTTTGGATTCTAGAGTAAAATCACTTGCTCCAGATGTCTGTACTCAGGCTTTCGCCATCCGTACAGCAGAATCCGGAAACTCTGTTATCAAAAACTGTAAATTGAAGGTCTTATACGAAGAACATGATGCCATTTATGTCTTCCTAGTAAACTAAGGCCGTTTGTCAGCATTGGTTCGGTTTGAATCACTCGATAATTAATCTTTGAAATATTCGAAAATTGAATGATATGCCGAATGAACGGGATCAAAGGTTATACAGATGATGGAGTTTCTTGCAACAGTTCTCATACAAAAACCCGGGTTAAAGAAGTACATAATCAAAAGATAGTTCGACTGAAGATAAATTGTAAAAGCGACTATAAAAGAGTGCTAGCCAAGACTAACCCTAATCTCCACTGCTTTCAGGTTTCTCAAACCCATTGGCACCACGTGATTTTACAGCGTCGCAGCATTCACCGGTAGCGCAGTTCTCCGTCGTATTCGAAACCAGCTGTGCCGACAGTTCTTGCGTTTTGTACATGATCGAGGTTTTGTGGCTTCCTTGGCTTCCTAGCCATCGCCAGTTCTTTCCAGTTGTGAAATGAGTCTGTACTCAATTTCAGAGTCCAGTGGAACAATCGAAGACGCAACCATATCGTTTTCTAGCCGCTTTCAATGGGAGTCAGCCTAGACGTGTTTGGTCGCATAGCATACTGGAGCGGAGGAGTGCTAGATTTATGGTAATATTCTGGGGACGTTAGGCGAATATATCCAAATTACGATTAACTTTTGAACATATGAAATATGGGTTTTAGAAAATATTGGAATATTCAGACCTTGATCTATTCAAATTCTGCGCTCATTAGATTCAGGGCGTGGTCCAGTCTTGTGGACTTATTCTGGCTTATGGGGTTTTCAACGAAGTAATTATAGAGAATTTCTTTATCAAATAGAGAATTTTCTACCTATCTAACAAATATTTTCTAGAAGTCGATAGAGAACAGTTCTCGTAACTGCATGTAACCTATTGTATGGTAATATATTTGCCACAACACTCGCGTGCGCGCCATATATTCATATTCCTTCTTAACCATCAGGCACGCCACCAGGCACTCAAGTGGGCGTTGTGGCAAATGTATTACTATTACAATAGGTTACATGCAGTTACGAGAACTGGTCTCAATCGACTTTTAGAAAATACTTGTTAGATAGATAGAGAATGCTCTATTTGATAGAGAAATTCACTATAGTAATCATTTTCTATTTCTCGGCAAACTAAATGCTTTCGGCTATCTGAACAGTGAAACGTCAAACCCATTGGTACCACGTGGTGATTTAGAATAATTTCATTTGAAGTAATCGTCCTCGTCTTACATCACTTAAACATTCACTCTAGTGCAATCAGCTATATTGATATGTATGGAACAGGTCAATAAATTGATAAACACTTAGTTAACATTATAGATAACGTGTTCTAGTACGTTCAAAGATGCAAAGCCGATACCACATAGTGAGTTCAGTTCATGAACATCGAACGTTTCCCGCTATTTTCCTTTCAAACTTCCCAAAATTCATCCTATTCGATCGATTCGACCAAAACATCAAGAAAATCCTGCTCTATTCATCACTGAAAATTTCTTTGCTTAGAAATTTGAACTGGCATGAACAATTCCACTCTTTGGTCGGGTCTCTAGCTCGTAGAATATCACACAGTGTTACGTGGGATGATTTCTTTTGCTGGATATTCCTCTCTTAGGTAGCGTTCCTCCGCTCTGGATCCACCTCTGGAGACGATGCGATTTTGGATCAAGCCCGAATTCTCTCTATCAATGTCACGAATATCGGTGCGTATCGTGGAGTTCAAGGTGGTGGAGCTAGCAGATGCCTTCCTTGCCCGAAAGGCAGCTTTGGGAAGTGCGTTCCTTGTCCACCTGGCCACTACATGTCTCTTGGAGTAAGTGCTATGACTGACTTAGCATGGCGAAGTTATCAAGAATCGTGACAAATTCGAAATTTTGCCTTTGAAGCAAAAGTAAGAGTCCTTGATATCAGAATCAGAGATAGAAAACGTGATATAATACTTCGTATTTGTAAATATACATAGGAAGGAAAATATTTAGGAGTTAAGAAAACCGCAATGAAAGCAGTAGAAGTTACGGAGGCGAAGAGTGGGAAAAGGAAGATAAATCAATTGCTGTTGATTACAACGACACATTCTGGGGCTATAAATGCAAGCCATAATGTTCACTAACTTAACGGCTAATAAGCTCTTGAATCCGGTCGGCTTCCCGCTGTTTGTAAATCGTTCACAATTTTGTTCCTACCGGTGATATGGGTACCACTCAACGGTTTACCGCCGCATCGTGGCTGGGAGGTGTTCCTGGGTGTCAGATTGCGATGTACAGCGGGGGATTCATCCCCTGGCAGGGTCTCCCAAGCTGAGAAGGAGTCCGGCGCTTCCATCTGGAAGCCTAGCAAAGAGTAAACCAATACTAGGATCCACCACTATCCTGGTATCAGATTAGTCACAAGGTGGCAAATCCTCTGATCCACAAGGGCTGCGACTGCCTGTGGTGGTGAAGACCTGGTGCAGACATTGGTCAGATTGACCTCGGGACTCCAGGGAACCATAATGGCTTAACGAGCAATTCTCCGAAAAATGGATATAATGCTGGGGCCCGCATAACCAGTGGGGATGGGCCATTCAAGTATCAAGTATCAAGATATGGATAACAAAACTGCAAAGGAATGTTGTGAGGCTTATAGTAAGTGCATATAAGTAATGAGCAGATTGAAACTGTGAAAGATAAAATAACTTTAATGATGCTGAGATATTTTCAAAACTCCGGACCGCAGGTGTCTGCGGTGGGGAACGAACCTGCTATTGTCTTTCTGGGGAGAGATTTGTGCTCTTCAGATAAATCCCGCTGACGGGTGATTGCTGATGGCAAAAGATCGATAGAACTAAGTGAGATACAGGCCGAACGGAGGACACGCATAGTGTAGTGGTGAACGCGTTACTCCACTGAAAGGACAATAACGCGTTCATTCCCCACCGCAGACACCTGCTGTCCGGAGTTTTGCAAATATCTCAGCATCATTGAAGTTATATTTAGCAATATATACCCTGCTGTTAAAGAGAGCAGGCAGTAAATAATAAGTTGAAAAGTTAAAATAGTTATTGAGAAATTCACAGAATGATAGTAAGTCTCAGAAGGACTAAAACTATACCTCTTCAACACATCCACCAACAAGCCATTTGTAGGCTGACATGACGTTGACGACAAACTTTATTCACCTAGCGTTCCAGCGCTTCGCCTTCTTTGGAGTCGGTTCGGTCCGAGTCGATTATACAGAGCAGACTGCTTGAATATAACTGTCAGCATTGAAATCGGCACTTCAGACGCACGAATGCATTCCGTGTCCTCCAAATACCGTCGTCAACACGACGTCAGAGTGGATCGGTGTCGAGAGCTGCGTAAAGTGCGGCCAGAACCTGCACTCTTCAGATGGCGTTGCCTGCACTTCAGACGGGATTCTCGCGGTCATACGAAACAATCGCACTCTGAACTACGACCTATCTTCTTGGCTGACGAAGTAAGCTATCGCTGTATAACTCAGTTTACAACTTGATTATAAAACGCTAGTCAGTTTAGACTTCAAAATATGTTATTGGAAACTTTAATCGGTTCTCTAGTAGCGGTTGTTTGAATTCTGAAACGTTCAGGATGAATGCCTTTCAGGACGTGGACTACCACTGGAGTGAAGGTGTTCGCTCGAGAAGGAGCATCCTACTATCATTCATTCAATTTCTCACTTTTCTCTGAGAAAGTCCAGTGCAAGGAGGCTTATGATCCAAACGATGCCTTTTCAATGAACGATCAGGTAAATAATTTTCATTCAGCTAGAAATTCGTTCGCCTTAATTTGAATTGGTGAGGCTGCATGGCTGTTATTTAGTAACTGAGACAAAACTATTGAAATCTTGTTTGGTTCTGTTCATAAGGAAATCAACTGCATTACTAAAATGAGCGACGTTCTTTGGACTGAGGTCAAATAAGCCGTGACGTTGGTGATTAGCTCAGATATCTGAATTTGGGACAACCTCGTAGACTACTTTCCGGCTAGTGATATCAAAAAACTTTTAATTATTACAGCACATTGAATTTTTCGTTACTATAGAGTTCCCACGAAATTCTTCAGAGTCGCGAAGTGGTTACCGGAGCAGCCTGCCGCCTAACGGTCCTGCCCGACATCGGCAGAAATCGGACAAAGCTTGCATTTGTTTCACCATTGCTGTGAGTAGCTTAACTGCATCTGTGGATTATCTTTTATCAAAACGGTTTGCGTGGACTGTTGTTTAGAAGAATTTATGTAGAAAGTTCATTTGAGACGAAGAAGATCGTTCGAGAATTAGTTTTGAATAGTCAAAATCATTTCCGAAAGCGGAATTGCATCGTTATATCCCAACCCCACATATACTGTAATTTTCATTATCGCGGCGGACATATCAAACTATCAAAATGCATTATTTCGTAAAACGCACATTGGAAACATCATTCAGCTTCCGACAAAGTTTACAACCACACTAAATCATGATTTTTCTACAATTCTTTTTGTGGGTCCTTCCTACTTTTGGGTTTATGAGAAGAACGATCTGTACTGCGTAGACAATTCGACACCATAGCCATTGTGTGGGCTTTTAGGAGGGCTAGCAGCTCACCTCAACGATTTCCATTCTAATATCCACGCAAGGGCCAGCTTTTACCAGCAGTGGTTTATATTGTTTTGCGAAGCGTAATGAATCCAATTGCGTTTTTGGTTTCTCACACTATATCAAGTGGCAAGAAACATTCGAATCTTATCTAGCTCATTTGTCACAATTCTATACTAATGCGATAAATCAATCTTTCTGGTATTAAATGGTACCTAATCTAATCTATCTAATCAGCATCTGAACGAGGCAACACTTACCACTCTAAAATCAACTGCTTAGTTACTCAAATTTTCTAGTTGCCTTCCTTTTTCGAAATTTGCACTCGATACCAACTCTAATTGTTGTCCTTCGTACAGACTGGCTACAAGACTTGAAGAAGTCAGCTTGCGGCGAGACCGGCTGGGTTGGCAATTGACGGATCAGCTGTTGGAGTACGGTTTGTGGTTTCTTTTCAGTGATCCTGATCTCGTTCTGCTATAGATAAGTATTACCAAAGTACCTTATAATTTAGTGAGGCCTACCCGAATGTTTTCCATATGAAGCTTATGAAGCTAGGAAATATGTGTGTACCTCGAAGACCTTGTGATTGTAACAGAAAAATATGAAACTATAAGTGCAAGTGTCCGTGCAACGTAGAGAATCAGCTTAGAAATTTCAACGAAAAAAAGAATTTTAAAAACTTTTTGCGTCTTTTTTATTATGAACTCCTCTACTTACACGTCGTATACCCTACTTGTGAAATATTCCTGCATAACAGAAGGGGTAGAGGAAGCTTCGCGTCCGATCGACGTGCACTTCTGGTTCGATGCGGTGGGTGCGACATCGGAAGCGTGTCCACGGGGCAACGCCTACGTTGCAACTGCCAGGTGCGCGCCAGGCAAGAAGGAGGTGGAGGTGCGTTGTTCGACGTAGTTGGAACTGAGTTGGCAAAATCATGTAGTAGGTTATTTGAAGTGTTTATCAAATTCAATGTAGAAGTTTTCAATCATAGAGGACTAGAAAGTAGTCGACAATTTAAACACCGAATAGTATTGCGTAAACCGCAATGTCTAGTTAGTAATGAAATCGCCTAGGTAAGGTATGAGAGAGTTATTACTGCTATAGTCACTCTGGTGCTTCATAATGTAGTGTCTAACGTGGTTTCATTAATCAAGATATAAGTCGCCTGATGAGGACCCATTAGGCGATTCATATCGGTTGGAGTTCCCGAACGTCATGGTTGAGACACGCCAGCTGTGAGAGGTTGACCTTTGATAATCCGAATTATTGAATGGTTCAGATTTTTAGACATATTAAATTATTCACAGTTTTCACTTCTTAATACCCAATTCCATATCATATATAGTCATCACAAATCCGCTGTAGAGCACTTGTTATTTAGTGGAAGCTAATTCCAGTTCCGTCTCCCACGTACTTGCCCCGATGGAACGTGCGACGGATGTCTTTTCCATGCCATAGTCGAATCAGTGCAAGTAAAGTCATTTTCTATCTTCTTTAGTGCTCTATATTATCTATGGTTATCTCATTCGAACAGGCATGTCCTGTTTGTCGGGCTGGCGACTACGAAATGATCAGAGGTGAATGTGTTAATGGACAGCAGACGATCCACTATATACCAGACAAGTAACTTGTTTTCTTCGTTGTTTTTTTATTCGTATTTTCTGCGATGTTGGGAAATAGACAACTGAACGAAGTACAATTTGTTTTATTGCCACTGGAAAGAGTAGTTGCGAGATCTAAGCACACCTGAGATTCGGAGTTTTGCTCATATCTCAGCATTCTTGAAGTACACTTTGTTTTCTTTTCATTCCTCGTTCCATTTGGTGGTTTTCGAAATGAAGGTGCATTGTTTGTAAGCCAGTTTGAGAACTCTGTATTGTTTATTTGGGCGAAGTAGCTTTGTCAAGAACTGCGAATCTTCTAACCAAAGCTTGACACTATTTAGTCCTCGACTGATGCTGTCATCTACCTGTAAAAATTGCCGCACAATATGAATCGATGATATTTGCCATAGCATTTTGCATAATTTCAACTAATCTTCCCAATATGCATTTTAAACGTATTCAAACTCGAAAATATTGCGTGAGATATACTTGTGCTCTTAGACCAACTGGGAACAGCCCGTTCTAAGACCATAAATTTTCAACTCCTCAGTTTTGGAAAAATCAGCGTCGAACCTTACTTGTTGCGTAACGGAAAACTAAAACCACGCCATGCGATCGCTATTTTTCAGACATTGTGTTCTCACGGGAAAAGAGGCACAATCACGAAACGATAGCTGCTCAGTATTGTCGGAGAAAGAGAAATTGATGCTTAGTACTGGCATTCTCGCATTTATCATTCTCTGTGTAGCTTTCGTTGTAATCTGCCAGAGAAATCGAAGGCAAGCTATTTCAAAACAATTCGCTTTTGTTTTGCTACCGCAGGAGTATTCAACTGCACTGTTTCCAGGTTAGAATACAAATATACTAGGCTGGTGGAATCTCGTAGCGGCGAATTACCCACTGCAGAAACCTGTGGTTTAGTGGACGATGAAGACGATGAAGTAAGCCAGTAGGGATCGAAAAACAATTTTTTCTATTTTTCCTGATTTAAATGAGATTAGAACAGTATGGAAAATCAACCTTTGCCAATTCCCGTGCAGGAGATTGTAACAAGAATGGAATGTCGATAACCAAAAACATTACGGTACACTTTCTTTGATGAGCTTACACGAGGTTGATAATGATGTTTATTTTCGGCTAACGTTTCGACGTCTTCATCTTCCTCAGAGCCGATGATCCGAGTCGTTGGTCCTCGCTTCTCGAGTCCTCGAAAGTCGGTTTCGAAATATTACTACGCTTTGTGCTAGCTGATAACAACACCGGCTTCTGCACGATGTGCGTAATGATGTATGTCCGGAAGGAAAACAGGTTGTTATCACCGGACATTATCATTATATCGACCATCAGCATCGTGTATAAAAGGGCATCACTGAGTAAGGATGCCTCATTCGAGGAGATGGCTCACTGAAGAAGACCTAACTCGACACGAAGCTGCCACGTCGAGGCGAATAACAAGCGAGGACCAACGACTCGGATCATCGGCTCTGAGGAAGACGAAGACGTCGAAACGTTAGCCGAAAATAAACATAATTATCAACCTCGTGTAAGCTCATCAAAGAAAGAATACATATTGATTAGTGATACCGAGGTTCAGGGAAAGTCGGTTTCGAAATATTACGGTATACTTTTCTGTTACATGGCTTCAAGTAAAGTATATACCTGTAGAGAATTTAACGCGTTCACTAACAAGCTTTCGATGACGATGACCTATTCAATTTTCTTTAAAGCATCCTTTTAGGCTCCTGTCAAATCCTACTTGATACTTGAACGGCCCGCCCTCATTAGTTGTACGAGCCCCAGCACAATCACCACTTTTCGGAGATTTGCTGGTTAAGCCATTGTGGTTCCCTGGAATCTTGAGGACAACCTGGCCACAGTCTGCCCAGATCGTCACCACGACAGGCAGTCGCAACACTTGTGGATCAGAAGGAGATTTACCACCACGGGACTTTGATACCAAGACGGTGGTGGATCCTGGCATTGGTTTGCTCTTAGCTAGGCTTCCTGATGGAAACGTCGGACTCCTTCTCAGCTTGGGAGACCTGCTGGGGAACGTATCCCCGGCTATACGTCGCAGTCTGACACTCAGGAACATCTCCCAGCCACGATGGAGCAGTAAACAGTTGGGAGGCCTGTCATATCGTCATAGTAATATGTAGTTTATTGGTTTAAGTTGGTGGTTAGTCAAAACGATACTTGTTAATGGATATATGAGTGTTGGCGTTTGCCACTTCTGTGAGTTTCTGCCGGAAGGTGGTATTTCCTTGGAGCTTGATCAACCAAAAATACTAAATGCTCATGTTTCACTATTGCTTGCTTGTAGATATGAATGATGTCATTCGTACCAGACGTTCATACTAAAACTGTCACTTTAACTATTCTTATATTGGGAACCACCGTTGGTTCATTTGCCGTCCCAATACACCTATTACAGGCTACGTGGGCAACTCTCAAAACTGTTGTATATCAACATGTAAACCTTCCTTTCAGGCTACTGATAGGGTGATTTTTGCGAAAGGAAGACGCAAGGTCTTCAGTGGTCGAGATACGGATGCTTTTGTGCCTCTTGAAAATGAGGACTAGTTTCTTTTCTTTCGTGTTCCGCGAATTAGTCATGACCCGGTTATCAGCCAGTTCTGGCTTTTCTGAGGACCTATTCATACGGTGCATGCTCTGTGATGTGGCTGGCTGTCGCATAAGGCTGTCGACGTGTCTTGATCATACGTAGTTATAGTAACAATTCGCTTGCCTCCATACTTCAGAAAACAATGATTTCAGCCTGTTTTCTATATATTACGTTCCATTGCTTTTACTTCTTGCGGATATATCCGATAGTGGTCTCATGGCTGTTTGATTACCAATTACTTATGTTGTAATTAGTGATACCGTTTTAAAGACCACCAAGACTCTGCACCTTCTTGTTTTTCTGTCACTTTCGTACACAATATCGATTGTATTGAGGAATGAGAATCTGAACTCATTTCGTACATATTGGCAACACGTAACGTATTTTCTTCAATGGGCTAGTTACCAAACAGAACGGACAGTGCTAAAACGGACAATCATCTTTCTACCCATCAATCTCATGTCTCTCATAGACTTCACGCAAATCGCCTACCACTTGCTGCGTTTAGTGTTCTTTCACTGTAAATACTTATGAATGCATATCGCTTGTTGATGTATCGCATATTTATCTTGTGAAGTCATAAAATGTTTTGAATAACTCTGACTAGATCATACATCAGGCACATTGCTGTCGATAAAGAACCCGTGGAGAAAAACCTCGAACAGCATGAAAATGAACATACATGGGAAACGTTACAACATCGAAGTTGATGACAGAAACAACGAAGACGTTGAGGAAAACAGAATGAGTTCGTACGAGGCTGTGTAGTTCATTATAATGCGTATAAGTAGAAGAGACAGCTGCTAAAGAGTCGTTCTTGACGTTGTGGACAAATAATACGCCCAGTACCCCATGTTGAACACGGCGAATGCCTGAAAAGAAGCAGTTATTAAACATTGAGTAGGACGATTTGTATCAGATGAGAACTCGATGAAAAGTTAACGCGAATACATCATAGGCTACATTGTATCCTTCTCTTTCTATGCATACCAGTTCACGATGGTTTACTTGTTCCTATAAGGACACGTGTGGCGCAGTGCTCGGAGGCACCCTGAAACACAGACGTGGAATCGATCCCAGCGCCCATGGTCTACCAAGCCTTCCATCCCTCCGTGGTCGACAAATTGGTATCAGCCTTGTCTGGGAGGATAGCATCATTAGCTCGATACATCGGTACGCCACCGCGATTATAAAGACCAGATATGCATTCAATCACCTCCAAAACGATGCTTAATGAAGCCGAGTGCATGACGCATCCCTCAGGGATTGATCAACGCCGAGTTTTATCCTTTCCTTGTTCCTATGAATAAAGTCACTACGAATCAAAAAAAGCCATCACTTCTCAGTTCTATTACTACACAACCACTTGCAAGCTACTTATTGCGTTTTGACAACATGGAGTATGTGTTAGGATCGTCCGTGTGTTAATTCGTCTTCGAAGGGCGGAACTCCGAATTCCGTCTCTAGATTGATTAACGATATCCTCTAATATCAACGTCTCTGAAAAGCGTACAGGAACACTTGTAGCCTTCACTTACGCTTAGCTTAGCGCCCAGCTTTTTTTTTTTGCTTTTAAGAAGCGCTGTTTAAAGAGAACAATTCTTCTGCAAATTAATAAAGTGGGTTAGAGCGAATTCTCGTATGATTGCGACACTTCAGTGAGGTTCCTTATCGTGTGGGCGTTCTTCCTCATACTGCATGTTTTTCGAAACCCTTTCTGCATAGCTTTCCTTCGTCCAGTGTTCTGTCCATCCTACTGAGAACGATTAGAGTTAAAAGTTTATAGACGACAAAGAGTGAGGAGATTGTGGCACAATTCTCGATTTCATGAAGGTCTCCTCTCCTATGCAGTTAACCGGGATTATTAAACTTCCAGTGATTAGGACACTTGCATTCTGAGAAAAGGCTGCTGATATACACAAGAAAAGTAAAAAATAAAAAAGACTACTCTTATCTGAGCCATATTTACACAAGTAGTCATATAAAAACACAAACAACATCAAATTCTCCACAGAATCTTCAACACCTTTATGCATTCTAAATGTATTATCCATGCTTAAATTACAAAGTCTGGCCCCATAGTAAGCATGGAATCTTAATTGCCAAAATACTATGTCTTCGTGTATTTTTTCATTGATAAGCTAACACGAAGTTGATGAAAGACTTTGCTTGGGGTGACGCCTCGGCGCCTTCGCCTTCTTCAAAGACGAATTGATCCGAGCTGATTGCCCACAGTTGGTCCTTCTTCCGATGTTGGTCTTCATGATTGCATCACGTGCCAAATTCGGACGGCGCTCGATGTAATCCTGGCAACAGACGTCTTTTGACGACTTTCGAATTGTGGTCTTTCCAACTCTAACGTGCAATATGGTGAATAAGCCGGTTATATTCTCCATCAATATTGCCGGCAACGATATCTTCTCAAAAGCATTCTAAAGATGCGAACAAATTTCAATTTAGAATGGTTCTTGGATCTCATATATTGAATCTTAACGTTTCTGCCCCTTTTGTAAATAACATGATTTCGTGCAAAGAGGAAACGGTCTAATCTCGTGTAGAACGTCGGGAACATCCGACATCGGCTAGATAAAACGTTCGACAATTCACCAGTGATCTACTTCAGAAGTTAGAATTCTGATGGATTTATAGAACAAACCTTGCACTATCGTTCTGTTGGTATTAATGTTATCACGTTTCAACGCATTTACATTAACTCCATATATTTTTTACAACATATTCAGCGAATAGATTGACACTATCTTCCATGGCTCCCTTCGGTAAAAATAATAAAGATGCACAGTCTTTTACTGGCAGAGCCTTCACGGGTTGGATTCGGAGCATATTAACTGCAGCTTTGTTGCGAACAGAAAGATCGACAGCCGGTGCACCACTTGCTTTTTTCATTCTTTTGTGAATTTAAACCATTTTCTGTGCTGTTTGCGGTTGTAGGAACTACATGGTAATATTCCAGGAGCGTTGAGGGGGTAAATCCTCATCAACGTAAAGCGCTATCCCTCAAACTTGAGTCATTAAACTCATTCTCTTCTTTCATCCACTCTACAGACAATCCGTATACGACAAATACGATTAAATAAGTCCCCTCTGTTCTATGTCATTCTTACTAACGATAAGGTGTCCTCAAACTCTAAATCTTAATGTGTACGTACCAAGAGACCTGCCATGAAGTTCAGTTAGACGGGCCAATTCCTCTGTAAGTAGTACAGCGTGGTGCCCTTTTCTCTAGCGAAGCGCAGGCAATGAGAACGTCTTACAATAGACTGGCCTCAGTATAAAGTCTAACAAAAAATACGTTGCGTCGAAATGGGCCAGAAAAATACGCGTCCGCATTGAAATAAAGATGCACAGTCCGAAACGTTTGGCAGTGTACATTTCGAAATCAATGCACACAGCCATGAAAGGGTTAAAAAGCAATTACTCATAACTAGGGTTTTTTTAGATTAGTAAGCCAAAAATAGCGTACCACAGGAAAAGCGATACTGGCTGTTTTGTCGATGGCCGCTCCTAGTTCGTTTCCTTTCGATTGACGCAGCGTAATTTCAGCGATGCTTCTAAAGAACATAGCATAAAAGGTGGACAATTCAACTTGTTCAAGGTTTATAATTGTTCAGGAAGATAGAAAGCAATCGTAGAGATCGGCATCCGAGGACCGATAATCAGAGTGTAACTGTATAGTGAGATATTATGTGTACAACGAAATGACCATTATTAAAACGCTAACCAATGACGTTTAAGAGTTTCTGGAATTTTCTATAAATTGGTATTGGATCGTGAATTTCCGTCATGGTGAAAGATTTTGAACTAGTTCATTGTTGAACACGATCACGTAACTCTATGATTATTATCAAAGGTGTTGTTGAACTCATTGCTCCACAAGAATTAAACGCTGATACGCTGGCGATCCTGCTAAGCAGCATTTAGAGCACACACTGCTTGGTAAACAATACCAGTGCCTTGCTGAATATCAGCCTTATCTCAACATTATTTTCATCTAGACCGAGGAAAAACTCAACAGCTACCAAGCACTGCAAACTCTAAAGAAATCTTCAGGATAAATACTTATCTAATGGGCTGCATAGTAATACTTAACCTTTCAACAAGAATTCTTTTTATCACTTTGTAATGGAACAAAACTCACTTTCGTAAGGCAGAGCAACTTCCGTTTGAAGTAGAAATTGGAATGCTAGTGCTGCGTAGACGCTGATCGCCCATCTTATCGTTGTAAGCGACGATAGCTAATTCAATCAGTGAGCAAAATATGAATCTGAAACGTCGGAACTACGGTGGCAGTAATAGCGATGAGCACTTTAAAGTAGGCATGAATGGCCGCTCAACAGGTGCAGAACGATTTCACGTCGCTCGGTCATTTGCCGAAGACTACCTAAGTGGTCCATCTACACGAGAGCCATATGTTCATGAGTTTTTATTAAAAAACGTCAACCTACCCAACACAACTGAACATCCAAATGTCGATCGCTTTCACGTATGACGCCTGAAAATGACATCAATTTCAGCAGTTTTCCATTCAGCTCTGTTTCGAAAATTTTGCGTCCAAAAAACTAAGTGATATCGGTTGGAGTGAATGTGTAACAACTCACTGAAGAGTACCTTTCAGAGTATGTCAATTCGAAACAGAAACGAGTAAGACTACACATCTAAACCACCATTTTAACCTTGTTTTTTTTAAGCATGAAACTCTAGTTTCTAATTTGTCTTCAAAATCAATAATCTACCATTCCAAGGCTAGTTTGAAAATCTGTTTATGAAAGACAGCTAGCCGAGACAACGATATCCTTGAAGGTATTGTCGATTTAGACATCTTGCCAACCAATTTGTAGGTGAGAATCATTCTGCGCACTACGTAGTCAAGGTCTTCCTTTTGAATCCAATGCCGAACTAGCGCTAGCAAATCGGAAGTGTACTTGAAGAAGGTCCTTTCGTGAGAAGATACTACACGGATATCACTGCATGTTGTGAATTACTAATGTAACACCCACAACCCTAATCATTTCAGTCGGAAAATGAATAAATTGCGTAAAAGCTTGAAGAAGAGAGTACCTATTCTGGCTTATAGACCTTATGCACTTCAAAAATAGACTACTGATATTTTTGCACTATTTTTGTTTTACACGGCCCGTCATCATATCTACCGTACGGATCACAACAGTTCGTCCATTCAATTCGTTTTGTTAGCAATTATAATATAATTATTTAGTTTATTTCTTATTAATTTATAATTTAGTTTAAATTTTAATTTAGTTTTTTTTCAATTATTACTACACATCGTCAACAATCGTCTTTGAATATTTCGCGTTCCGTTTCGCCTGCTAGTTGAGGAATTCGTGTTTTTTACCAATGTCGTAGGATGCTGGTTGAGTTGATTCTTTTCACAATCTTAACCTTTTTATTTACTGGCTATTCTTTTTAACGGCAGGGTATTTTTGGGAAATATAACTACTATAATGCTGAGATATTTGCAAAACTCCGGACTGCAGGTGTCTGCTGTGGGGAACGAACGCGCTATTGTCCTTTACGGGGAGTAACGTGTTCACCACCACACCATGCGGGTCCTTCGTTTCGCCTGTCTCTCAACTAGTTCTATCGATCTTTTGCCATCAGCAATCACCTGTCAACGGGATTGATCTGGGGAACCCAAATCGGCATTGAACCCAGTTAAGCTGAGGCTATAGTTGTAAACACAATCATAACCTTTTTATTCCCTGCCTATTCTTCTTCGATAGAACTAGCTGAGAGACAGGCGAAACGAAGGACCCGCATGGTGTGGTGGTGAACGCGTTACTCTCTGGAAAGGACAATAGCGTGTTCGTTCCCCACCGCAGACACTTGCGGTCCGGAGTTTTGCAAATATCTCAGCATTATAGTCTTTTCATAATCTTGGAAATAGCCGGGCTGAGGCATTCCCACGTGGATTGGAGAGAGCATTGGGAATGGGTCAAATCAGCGCCTATGATTCCCGATTGACGACACCACTAACCACTGCGCTACCCTATGCGCAAGATTGTTGATAAATAACCAGAAAGGAAGGACATAGTCAGTTGGAGTTACGGTAAGTGTATTTGTTGACAAGAGTTCTCAAAAGTTATACAGCCTTAGTTTTGGGTTCTATATGTTCTATACGAAATATGGAATGCGTGTAGAGCAGTAATTAGAAGTACCCTGGATTAGACACGTGGCCGTGTCCGATCCCAGAATGGCGACATGCATCCACTCCTCCATTGTCGGCAAGGTGATGCCAGACGTGTCTGAGAGGATAGCAGCACTGACTTGGTACATCAGTGCAATCATTTCATGCGCTAGAAATACATTAATTCACCTCTGTGGTACTTGATAAAGTAGGATGCATGATGCGTCTTTCATGGATTGATTAAAGAAGATGTCCTTCATTTTCTTTTACCCCTTACACAATAATATTAGTTCTAGCTTTCTTATCAACATAATATCTTAGCGATTTTCCATGAAATAAGTGCTCTCGGAGCTCCAAGTCTATATGCTCGTTTTATTTTAGTTCCATGATGTGATTTTACGTCGTCTCAAAATATAGTTGAGGCTTTCTCAAAGCATGCTCGTGTGTTAGATTAGGAGGACACGAACAAGACGATACAGTTAGTAGCTGATTGGACATAATCTGGGTGCAGGACGATTCCGATATGGAATTGTTCAAAAGCGGCTGTTTGCAACAGAACTATTGGCGCGGCAGAGTTTTGCACTACAAAGAATGCCTTTAAGGTCGATGTACATTACTTAATCCTCTACTTGGCCATTAACACTAAAGCAATGAAATCGATAGAATAGATCTATCCGTGGAGGGTCACTAGACGATCCAAGCAATAATTCTTTCTTAATTTGTAGAACAATGGTAATGTCTCTCTCTATGGAATACTTTGCCTCCTTCAAACGCCATCATAGACAGTGATGGCTTTGTCCAACTTATCAGGATAGACGTGTCCTCGCCAGAATTTTTCCCCACGAACTTTCTTTTCCAGGACTACAACAGCTAATCTGGAGGAAAACGCTTCCAATCTCGAATGGTTCGGATCGTGTATTGGCGACTTCGATTCACATTCTTCTTAATGTTATCACAAGACAAAATGTGCTTCAGGAATCAATGAAAGATGTAATGAAATTCAACGGCTATAATTTGAGGAAATCCATTGGTATCATTGAAAATATGGATCGGAAAGGCCAATCTACGATCCGATACCTTCGAGATCGGGATTGATTTCCTCCACTTTAGCTATTGCAGCCCCTGGAAAGGGCTATTTGTAAAAGAAGAACTCTGACAGGTGCAGACTTTTCGAGAAGAGTTGGGCAGCACTGGCTATATCACCGCTTGGAGAAGCAAAATATTCCGAAGCGAAGTATTCCGTCACCATTATTCCTTAGGTGCGGGGAGCGCACTGGTAGTGATGCCGTTCATCACGAGCACGGTGCTAGTCCGACCCTGGTAACGGACGCGCCATTACCCTTTTTTTATTCTCCAGTGCAGACGCTGCGGGAAATTAAAAAAAGAGGGTAATAGCGCGTTCGTTCCCCACCGCAGACATCTGTGGTCCGGAATTTTTCAAACATCTCAACATCATTGTGGTTGTATCAAACTTAATATCCTGCTCTGAAAAATTCTAACAGCCAATCAATAAATAGTTAATTAAGATCTAAAAATTCAATAAATACCTTGGGAAGCGATTTAACTATGTTGCCGAATTGAAACGTGAGCGCCATAAGAGACGAGACCGACAGAGTGATTCTGGCCGGAAGGGCCCGAGTGTCCATCCAGAACGCAATCCACGATATGAATACCGACACGTAAGTCGGTAGGTACATCTGACGTTCCATTGTTTTACATACGAAAACATAAACGTAATGAAGTATTCCATAGACAGAATTAATGAAGCCGCGCTGTAAGAATTACTAAATAAACATGAGTAAAAAGGAGGCTAAAAATATGTGCCTATTTGAGATATTGTCATTGACATGCGACGCAAAAAACTTCAGACTGGATCGGAATTACTAGTCAAAATTTTTAATACATGATTTCCAGGTGGTCATATGATCGTATTTAGTCATATTACTCTTCTTCATTTACAACCAGATTTGTTGTTACCGGCTCATTTGTAGGTTTAGTGAATCGTTTGTGGGTTCACATTCTTTTTAGAAAGAAACCTATTCATAGAAATATTTCGTGTTTTAGCAATGGGCCACGAATCTCCCTCATAAAGGGATCTCATGCGGGTTAGATGTGAGGCAAGGTGGTGCCTCCCTAGGTGGCGAGGAGGTTAATCGCGAACCAAAACCGACCTTTTGTTTCCCTGAAAAGATGTATACCCAGGATATAGACTCCGTACTTCAGCTGCGACAATTTGGCACATACCTTCTGTATTTATGAGGATGTATTCATGCAAGCGTGTGTGGGTGTGTTCTCATCTACGCGCATTCTATTCTACGAGTCAATTCGGCCGAAAACCAGAAATCAAGTGCGCGGGAGGTACAGGAGAGGCGGAGGTGTCTCATCCAACAAATAAGTTCATCGTCCGCTCTAGAAAAGAATGGCAAGGTGCTCGTGAATATACCCCAGCCTACACGTTCCTAGCTCAGTAGGCATTACGTGGATATCAAATGCTAAACACAATTTTTAAAAAAGTAGGCCTCGTTCTACTAATGCCGAGAAAGCCTCTATAGGAGAATGGTGCGTAGGACGAGTACGAAGCAACGGACTAAGGTGACGATCTGCACTTACAATGGCCACTCAACTGAATCTGATTCCTCAATAAAGGACTTTTTCATTCACTCAAAAAGGATAAGGTACGACGTCATCGGACTAACTGAGACAAGAAGGCGCCATCCATTCAACGCCATCTGTGACACTGGAGAACTGTTCTTTGGAACATGTGACAGCAGAGGCATAGGTGTTCCCGTCAACATGAGCTTGGTAATAAGCCTTGATTGACTCGAACAAGTGGCAACTCGAATCACCGTCAGCGGCTCAAGAGATGTGAATCGATGCTAACTTTGACAATATTCGTTGTTTACGCACTGACATCAAGCTATGACGAAGAGGAAATCGAAGCGTCCCACATGCACTTGGAGAAGTTCCACAGAGAAGACCATACATTCTTTAAGGATATTCTTTAAGGTAACTATTGGGGATTTTAACGCTAAGGTTGGACCCACAAGAACGTTTGAAGAACGTCACATTAGGGCCCACAGATTAAAATGGAACAAGCAGGATGAGCGGCTGTCTGAGCTTATCACGACGACGACCAAGACCATTCATGGTAGCTCACAATTCTGGAAGCTCCGCTCTCAGCGCTGGACGTGGGAGTATTCCAATGGAAAGTACAGTGACGAAATAAACCATATCACAGTAAATCGTAGGTTTTGAATAATTGATGTCGCTGTTGTCCTAAAATTCCATACGGGATCAGACTATCGCCTCTTTGGTGCACGATTTCGTTTCTCTCAGAAAGGAGAAAAAGCCACTACATTCAAAATAAGAAGCCTGAAAACCATAAACTAGAAATTCTTCAACTCATTACTCGGCTGTTGGGAAGACGCCATTCTCGACAACAAGGACGAGGAATACGGTCGGTTCAATCAACATCTTCACGTTAGCGCTGTAAAAGCTGGGAGTTCGAAATTCACCAAAAGACGTCGGTCTCTAGAAACAGTCAAGCTGATACGCCAGCGCGGAATCGCACGAGCTGCAGGCAATCGCCAACTTCCGTCTGAACTTGCAAAACAATGCAAACAAGCGATAAAAGAGGAAGGAGAGAACAGCAGCAGTTATGGTCGAAGCAACACAGGCTGAGAAAAGCGTTCGCAAAACCCGCTGAAACTTTGCCGATTACAAAACTAACATAATTGCACTTTGAAGCCGAGATGGGACAGCTACAGCGTCCAGAAAGGTAATGGAGGGAACCTTTCACGATTACTACTAAAATTTTTTCAATAGCCACGTCCTCTTGCCCTTATATGAAATAAGTAAAGAAGGGTATGTGGTACCATCGGTTCTCCCTTCCGAGTTGACATGCTGTTTCGTCGGTGAAGAATTGAACAACATCAGGTCTACACAGGATAAAATCTGAACACCTGCGAAATCTTTCGGCAATTCTCATCAACACACTGACTCTTATTACACGTTAATTGTCAGAATTCAAGCTTTCGATTCACTGGAAGACGAGAAGACTGTGATATTCTTCAAGAAGGATTACCTCTACGATATTGACAATTATTGGCCAATTTGCTTGCTGTTTGTCGTTTATAAACCCTTCACTCGAGTTACCCTAATCAGGACTGACAGAACACTGGACGAAGGCCAGTCAGTTGAGGTAATATTGTTTCAGAAACAATTTAGTATGACAGACCACACTCACTAGATAACGAGACTCACTGAAGAGTCACGAGAGTAGAACAGACCGCTCTGTGTCACTTTCATCGACATAAAGAGAGCCTTTGACGTAGCTGAGATAGAAGCAGTCATGGAAGCCCTTGATAGTCAGGGATTTACTACTCAGTATATAAAGATTCTTCGTGACGTATATAAAAATTTCACAACCAGAATATGGCAGTTCTACAAAGATTTTAATACCAAGAGGAGTAGGCAAGGCGATACCATCTCGTCAAAATTATTTACCGCCACTTTCCAGAACGTCATGCGAACACTGGAATGGGACAGCATGGGAGTGAAAATCGACGGCAATTATATTATCTTCATTTTGTTTATAACGTCATGATTTGTTATAACACCAACCATTAGCCAGGCGAAACAAATGCCTAGCGACTTTGAAAATGCTTGTGAAAACACTGCTCTTCGACTAAATCTCACAAAGCAATGTTCGCGAGGAATCGATTCGTTTTTATGCCTCATTCACGTTCAACGGAACGAATTCTCTGAATGCCCTAGTCAGATCTATCTGGAAATCAATACGATAAATGACTTAACTCCAAAGATGAGCAGGAGGAAACAAGCGGCTCAGGCGCCTTTGAAGAGCATCGAGGATGTACTGAAGAGAACAAACCATCCGACTTTGGGCCCGACTGTTCGAGTCCATGATTCGCTCCGTCTTAACGTATGCGTCAGAAACTTGGTCACTGCGAAAACGAGGTGAAAGATCTCGCTCATTGTTGTAGAACGCGTAGCCGGAAGAACGATCCTAGGAGTACTCGGTTTCACGCAAATGAAAGAAGTGGTCCAAAGCCACGACTTACGTCAACGATAAAAAAAAACAAAGGTGCCGTTGTATACGCCAAACTGTCGAAGATAAGGTAGGCCAGACACAACCGATGGGCAAGAGCTGTTAATGACTGGATTTTTCGGGATTTCCAGTTGACGAAAACCCTAGAAGGAAGATATGACGCTCAACTAGTCCCTAGGGCGAGTGTAGCCCACTGGCCTACTCATGCAAGCGACAGAGAGAAATGGAAACCTTAGTGGAGCCCTCTCGAGTCACTCGACGACCAACGAAACAGCAGGTGGTACAGCTGATTTAGGAATGATTAATGAACTAAAGATTGATAACTATAAACCAGTCACTAATGGTTCAATCAACCCGCGACTTAACATTTATACTCCACCATACACACCGTCCAACCTCAAGTGGATAACATCTACATTTCCATAATGTCTCTTCACATTATTTCGTCTTCTTCTAACAGTGTATACATACATTGACGAGTGCACGAGAACGCTCCGAACTCCGAGTTTTGACCTCATGCAATCGTAGACGAGTGAATTTTACAGAATCTCTTATTTAATCCTATTTTCGTAGTATAGTGTTACATATTTCGGCAAATATGCCATTTGTTAGCCCAGTTCATCGCTGATAGGGTACCTGTAGAATGTAGAAGCCGTAGAGCCTCTCGAACTGGATCGATACTCCCAGACGGTGCCACAGACCAGCAGTATATGTCTAAACGTCGCCATTACAATTCACCAAACATGCAAATATAAATTTACCACCTATCATCATAATTTCGGGGAAGTTAGCTTGGGTTCAATTCACCACTTAGATCAGCATGTCATTTCCAGGTGATATGACTGCTTAACCATTCAGAGTTCAACTAACACATGCAAATGTCAATGCTAAGCTCCACCGAACCTCGGTGTCCATAGTCAATGTGTTTCCATATTGATAAGCTTGCATGAAATTGTTATAAATCCTTCTTATAGGTAACATTTCGGCTATTTCAACTTCTTCAGGACTGCCGTACTTAGATTCCAGTGTGTGCTCCAGTTGTTTCTTCTTGCGACGTAGCTGTTCGTAGCTGTCGCATCGAGTCGCATCGAACGGAGTCGATTTGAGCAAGGCACGAATGAAGTATAGATTCATTCAGAAATGCCCTCTTGCGTAGAGATGAAGCTGCGCTGAGGTGATCTGACCTCATCCAGCAGTTCCCCAGAATCCAGTGCGATCCTTGATCTATTTCCAACAAAAATCATTTCTTTTTCTGGTGGTGACAACATATCGTGGAGTAGTTTGGGATCAATACGAACTATCACATGGCGAAGCAAAAGAAGCAACTGCCGTGGACACCTGACTCGCATAGTTGCAGTTCTGAAAAAGGCGAAACCACCGAAAAGTTATCGACAATAACGATTTTGAACAACCAGATGTATGCTTATCAATAAAGCAAGGCACACAAATGGGCTAAACAATTAGGTGACTTGAACAAGTTTTTCTCTGACCTCTGTCATCGTATTGTACGTCATGTTGGACATCCTGAAATCCGGCAGATTAAAGTTGTTTTTCACAGAGCTCACTGGTGACCATTCAAGCCATCGTAGTGAAACCTGAACGTGGAACACAGAGCACATGTGTGAACAGCACCAATCTCGGCACTAAGATCAAAGCTGCACGACTTCATATTTTAACAATCTATCTGTTTGTACGTGGCTGTGGGTACCGCAGTACCCGTGGTCCAATTCATTACGCGGACTGCTCAACCTACTCTGGCACTGGTTCGCCTCTGCACTAGGCCCATAATGGCTCCCATGCATCTAGGAGAGGGAGATCGGTACCAAACTCGTCAAGGGCAAGCTCGCTCCCTCAAATCCACATGGTAACAACCTAACAAGCTACTTCAGTATTTCAGAGAAGATCCATTCTACCAGAATTCAATGAGATTCATGACCAGAGAAAAATCATCAAACAGCAGTCGAAGCCGCGCACAAAAAAGCGTTCGAAGACCTTCGTTGATGGTATATGAGAGGAAATGAATCGAATGCAAGGAGTGCCGATATCCGCACTTTGTGATATGTGGTATTGGACCATATTAATAAAACATTCATATACCTATTTATTTGATACTTGAACGACCCGTCCTCACTGATTGTGCGGGCCCCCGCATAATCTTCATTTTTCGAAGATTTGCTGGCTAAGCCATTGTGGTTCCTTGGAATCCCGAGGTCAGCCTGGCTAAAGTCTGCCCAAGGTCTTCAACACCACAGGCAATAGCAACTCTTGTGGATCAAAAGGAGATTTGCGACTTTGATACCAGGACGGTGGTGGATCATAGCATTGGTTTACTCTTAGCTAGGCTTCCTAATGGAAATGCCGGACTCCTCCTTAGCTTGGGAGACTCTGCCAGGAGGATGAATCCACCGCTGTAAATTGCAGTTCGACACTCAAGAACACCTGCCAGCCACGATAAGGCGGTAAATCGTTGGAACGAAATGTTATACATATACATATATATATATATGTATATATATATATATATATATATATATGGCTCGTGTGGCGCAGTGATCGGAGGCGCCCTGCGACATACACATGGAACCGATCCCCAAGCCCGTGGCTCGCTACCCTTCCATCTCTTCGGGGTCGGCAAACTGGTACCAGACTTTTCTGGGAAGGTAGCAGCACTGCTTCGATACATCGGTAGTCTACTTTCCTGAAGCCCTGATACGCATCCAATCACCTCCAAACGATGGTCAATGAAGTCGAATGCATGGCGGATTCTTCAAGAACTGATCAACGCCAAGAACATTATTCTTTATCCTTATTATATATACATATATGTATATTTTCCGTAGGCATGACAGTTAAGAAACTTATCGCTGGGGCAGGGTAGTTGAGTGCGATAAATAATGAAAGAGCACTAAATGCAAATATGAAGGGTCTGGTCTAGATCACTCCCTTATAAGTGCGCCATGGTTTTAACTCTATATGCACCGTAAGGTGACTAAATGTATATTTGTCTTAACCGCTGAGTTCTATCGACCTATTAAATGAGGTTTTCATCCTTAGAAACACTTTCGCTACAAAATACCGAATTCAGAAGGACAGTGAGCTTGGTTGGTTTGTGGATCGAACCAACGACCATATATGTTATGTATTGCAAGGCACCTCTAACCACTGCACAACACACTCCTACGAAGAAAAGCCTGTTTGATAGCCTGTTGTTACGAACCACCAAGGAAGCATAGTGCAATTTTCACTTGACTGGTAATCTGCTGCTTAGTTAAGAATTCTTTTCATGGAATATCAAAGTCTCCTATGAGCCATAGCAGAGCGTAAGCAACTAATGACTACATTGTTACTAACAACGCAGCTATTCGTAGTACTGGTTTATATATATATGGTTTAGCCTTATATTCGTTTTCTGAATGGTAGTGTCAAAATCGTTCTCAGCTTGGGAGGCCTTGATGGGTGGCAAGACCTCCGCTGTTTATCACCATTGGACATCCGGAAAAAGTTCCCAGTCACCATGAAATGGAAAAAGCATCGAAGCAACAAAACAATAAGAGTTATTAAGTCCACTCACTTCAGCAGAGTTGTAGGAGTAACTTTCCAGTAGCAAAGTGCATTTTATACTATCCAAAGGAAACTTCCGCAGATCCATTCGACATGGTGCTAAAAAAGGAAACCACCTTTAGGATATGATACTACGAGGTCACTTTCGCTTCGCAGTCAAAAGAGTCCAGGACATACAAACCCTCAGAACGGACTCTGTAATTCAGCCATACAGTACCGTTTGGGAAAACCATCAGAAGAATATTCGGTTTTGGTGAATCATGTACCTAGGAAAGAGAAATGTGCTGTATATTAGTTAAATGAAATGATTGAGATCTGATAGTACAAACCACGATGTTGCAGTCTTTATACAGCCATACTAAAGTTTTGTCGTACACATATGATGTTCATTGAGTATTGATGTCAACGGAAAAAAACGCTCACACATACGTACACATATACATATACACATACGCAAGCAGAATACATACAGAGAGATACATACACACATATACGCATGCGAACATATACGCATACACATAGAGACGCACACTCTCATGCATAGATGCATGCGTACATACACAGGCGCACAGTTCACAGTTCAATACACAACTCTATTATGCAAACACTACTAATGCTTGTTTCTTTCGTTCTATGTCATCCACTCCACATTCAGTTACCTCACGCCGATAGTGGCTGGTGGCCCGTGTACGACATACCTTTGTCAGCTTTGAGTTGACGACGCAAACATTTGGAGACCACAGGAGTGGCTCCATATTATGGTCCAGAGAAAGATTTTTCCTGCACGGATCGAGGTGCTGGAAGGCCAATCTGTAACAGTAGGTTCCCTGTCGCTAACACATTACGGAGGGTGTGCATTGTATACAATCATATACGTCGCCCTTATAACTTGCACACAAAACCACAACTTAGAGATTATCTGGGGAATGAAACTCAAGCAGACTGTAGAAAGAAATTCTGCGGAAGCAGCTCATGAAGTATTGTGAGCAAAAGCTGGTAATTCTCTCCTTTTACATTCTCTTTCCTTCGAAATAATCTCATTATCGAAAAATTCCATAACGTTTCTATCGTAATATGAAATATCTCTATCTTCTCCCATTCCCGGTACATACCGTCTATCCATCCAAATCGCACTTATCCAGAAATCCATCACGAACGTTCCGGTAATGGCCGAAATATCAGAAATATCCTGTATAGTGATTTCGACTAACACTTCCACAGGCGTCGGTTCAGGTAACACATTCCTAGAAGAAAGTATTTAGATCCAGGGTTTAAGTAACTGCAGTATGTTCACTGTTCATTGCACGAAGAAATCTTCATACGTGCTGTCCTCTGCTATGAAGAACGTCATTTTTTTACAATAGAGACCAAAAATACAAGATATTCAATTTTCAACGGCACTTTTTTCAGATATAAAATAGTAAAGGATTATTCTGCACTAAGGCCTTTGAATGTACCAAGTCAGCATTTTCCATTCTCCCAGACAGGTTTGGTACCTATGCGCCGATCCTGTATGCATGTTAGGCTTGATTTGTACGGATCGTGAGATTTAACCAACTAATCTGTTTGTACCGCAGTAAAACTCTAACCTCTGCGCTAACACTCCAAATGCAATTGTTGCCAATCGGTAAAGCTCTATGCAGTTTTACAAGGCTCCTTGCGAGTACACGTAAAGTTTAACGAATTTTTCCGATGAAATTACGCACAAACTCCGACTTATATGCGGGAAGATTAATTCGCGCTTAAATCTTACGTCGACAGTGTTCATCAAAGGCCGATTTCTTCAAAGATGGCTGAAGGTGAAAATGAGACAGCTGCAACCATTCCCAGGACCGACTTTCTTTCAACTCGGACATTATTCGATAAGTCAATGTTTTATTCCTGAGCAGACACAACGTTGTCAAAAACAAGACTCATTCAATACTGGCTGGCCTTTTGGCTTTCTGACCTTCTCCAGAGCCTGGAAAGAAAAAATTGACCCGTAATCTACTTAACCAAACACTTTCATAACCTAAGCAAAAAAGACTCAATAAATAAATTTTATTTAAAATCATCATTTAACTATTTCATCTAAAAATCATGTGTTGAGTTTCTTCTGCTTGGGTTATGACGGCATCTGGCTGAGTGGTTTGCTTGTCAATTTGGCCATTCTTGGCCCAGAAGAAAACGAAACGGCGGAAGCGTCAGACAGTATAGAACAAATCTTATTATTGACAACCTCGTTTCTGTTCAAGCATGAAACACTGAACCACAACTATGTCTATTTAAGTGAAGAAAGGAAGACGAGTGTTGAGTGTTGGACTCATCATTAAGCCTTGGTAGAAGGTCGCATAAGTGAAGCAGCAAGCCTCTTAAGTGTCCTCGAGATCCTAGGAGTGCAAGCAGATGTCGACGCAGGGCCCCTCAGCGATAATGGAGGAAATGAAATTTGCGCACTCCTTGGCCAACAAAGAGAAGCGGTCTTCTCGGAACACCAACACACATCAGTGGTTAGTAGTGGGTCCAGCCGATGTCCAGCAAACGGAATAACTAACTATTTAGAAGTAATACAACCGTAAATCATCGCCGCTACGTGCTCAACTTCTTTAATTCGGGTCGAAACGGTGAGATAATAAAACACAAAGCTTCACCTTTGCATTGAAAATATGCCGTGGAAGGAGAGATGTTTACTTTTTTTTTTGGAATGGTTGTAAGGATGTTTCGCTGACTAACAGGATTGGTTTATCATCAAATGAATTTCACACCACATATTAAGACAGAGTTCTCTACGTCTTGTAGAGAGGAACCCAAAGTAGACTTCGAGATTTTCACTATTTGACTTTTGATTTCGGACTTTTCATATTTCAGATTTTTGAGTGTTAGTGACTCCTTAATCCTCAGCAGAAATCAGATCTACTAACATGGAAGACTATAAAACTGTAACTTTTCCTCATTTAGAGTTCCCTTCTTTTTAGAAGCTTCTGTTCATCTTAGTGTTTTCAGCGCTCGCTCCCTTTTCCGAAATCTTGGTGGTTTCGCCGCATCACCACTGCTCCATTCATTCTCAAATTGCTGTTCTCAGGCTTCCAAGCTAGACATAACGTTAACCTACTTGCTGGCAACTATACCATATGTTTTTAAATTGTTGAGCTTACACGAGGCTGGTAAAGATGTCTATTTGGCTAAAGTTTCGACGTTTTATCTTCGTTGGAGCCGATGATCCGAGCCAGGTAATCGGCTCTGATGAAGACGAAGACGTCTAAACGTTAGCCCAATGAACATCTTTATCAATCTCGTGTAAGCTCAACAATTTCATCACACATTGATTATCTTACTACAGAGGTTAAATGACGGTCAGTTTCAAAATTATACGAAATGTCTTAAGTATTTAACGCCTTAATCACAAGTGCTACTAAAGACGAGACTTTATTTAAAACAATGAACAACTTTCGCTGCATATTTGATTCAGACGGCGGTGAGCTAAAGAATGCCAACATTAACCAGCAAGTTACAGGGTAAGAATGGTGAATTAGGATGTGTTCAGAATTGACTAACCTGCTGTAGTTGAACATGATGATTTGAGCGAGGTCCTGAGCTTTTGATCTCTGCTGACCCGCAACACATTCAAGACGTTTCCTGTCGGATTGATGAGAAGTGTAAATGGAATTGACGCCTTTAATACAAACATTTTACCTATCTCTAAAGTGCTCTTGGCAGACTAATTTCCTTTATTTCTTAAACAATGACACACCCAGACCAAAAAGTACTTTCAGAGATGCTCACCTTGCTGACATAGTAAAGTCAGTTACAATGGTGCGATATTAAAATGAAGGAACTGAGCTCTGCTAGCAGTGCACTAAGTACATTTGCCACTGAGATGGCATACTAGCACGGCTTGTTATGCATCTTTTGAAAAAGCTCAGTCATATTTAACCTATTATTTTTACACGACCCAATTTCACATGTTCCATTCGATCCACTTCTTTGCGTCCGTCAATCACAAAGGCTTTTGGTATTGAAGTGCGATTTCGCCTGCCACTCGAGCACTTCGTCCTCTTTCTGAATGTTGTTGAACGTTCGTTGACTAGATTCTTTTCACATTCCTGGAACAATCGTGGTAGGCCGTTGTGGATCCGACAGGTTGCTTTCCAGACAAGGTTGGCAGCAATTCGTGGACCATGAGTAGATGGGGGCTGGTTCGCTCGGAACAGGGTCGCACCAAAGTTTTGCGTGTACTATTGAACGGCATGTCTACTACTGCTATAGTCATGTCCCCTTTCCTAGGGAGTATTACCTTATGTTAGCCTTAGGTTTTCTAAGAATGATCCTAAAACTTCTTTCACCATTTTGGAACCAAAAGGTATGAAATTCAAAGCAACATTGAGATGTAGAGCTTGTCGCCATTAAGCAGCGAAAAATAATGCCAAAAATAAACACCACAAAGTCATTATCACTTCAGAAAAAATCTTTAGAAGTTTAGCAACTTAGGACGAGTAGTAACATCATGCTTAGCAACATTGCTTTGCTCCTTCTAATTCTTGAACTTAACGAAGGAAGAGACTTGTTCACCTGGTTGGTTTTCAACGGCCACCGGACTAGACGAGAGAAAAATTATCGATTCCAAGAAAAGAGTCTGGAAATACAAAATACTGAGCTTTTATCCCAGACAAATGAAAAAGATAAAAATCAGATTTTTAGAAGTAGTGTTCTACTGAACTTCATCGAGAGCTCACTGCGTTACGATTTCTGGTCGTAATGTGTCAATACACACCGACCAATTTTCAAAAAGAATGGCAGACTATACATCCAGGTACATTTAATTACGACTTCACCTAAGTATTCCGTTCTGTATATCTACGACCATACGGATGAATGCTGCATAGGATATTGCAGAAAGATGAATGTGCTACTCAACGATTCCTGTTCCTCTCGCGGTAGGCTCCAGAGAGTATTCCCCTATTTAGCTTTTTAGACACTTTTTACACTTTAGAGCTCAGAGGTTACGGCAAAGTGCTGACGAAATCGATTAAGAATCCGGCGAGCTCAAAGGACAAAGGAGGCAGTGCTGAACAGTGTTGGACAGCGAATTTCAATTTGTTGCTCGTGTAGGACGTAAATGGTTGGTAGATGCCACCACCAATGAAAAGCTTCTGATAGGCGCGAAATGCCGAAATTGGCACACATGCTAATTCGAACACCCATTTTCATCCCTAGGTACGATGACACGGTAGACCATTTTGGACAAAGGACGCACAGACACCAAGTGGTGTTGAAAAATAATTTTTATATTCCTCTTAATACAAGAATAGGATAAACTATCAATGCAAACCTGGATGCTGTATATCATTTGAGTTTTGTTAGAAATCCAATGGCGGAGATGAAATAAGCATACTCAATACACTCGACGAGTCGAATGGGGCGGGTCGAGCAGAGGAGCTAAGAGGGATGAAACGTCAATAAGGCAGTAAGTACGGATATTCGACAATGCCTTCTGAGTGTGCACATGATAATCAAGTGAAGAAAAGCTCGTCATATTAGTCAATCATACTAACTCGGATAAGAAATTGGTCATCGACAAAGGAACAGAAAAGAGTCCATGGGAATTTGGATGCTTCTGTGGCTATCACATTCTCACCGAGAGAAAACGTCCCATATGTGCACAAATAACCGAAATAAATAGTTTTGGAACTGACTTTCATTAATAATGAAACAGTCTCTGGGTCAGTTAAGTAGGAAACACTTAATATCAAGCGGAATAGGATTAACAAAGCCTTCTCTTCACATCACATCGGGATCAGTACCCAAGTTAAGTACTGCTTGTTGAAATGTCTTATGTCACTCCACTACAAATGATGAGTCATTTATAGATCTACAAATGATGAAATCACTTGTAGATCTATAAATGGTTTGGGTTAGGTCAACCTCAGGTGGCCAACGGTATTGGCTAGAGCTAGACATAACAAAGACCGCTAGTTTAACTATTTCCCAATAGTGATACTTATTTATAAGCAAAAACCACATTAAAGGAGAAGTACAGCGAAAAAACGCCAGTTCGAACCCACCGCAGACCCATCAAGTCTTCTAACCCTTCGGAATCAATAAATTGGTGGGAAAAGAATAAGAGGAAGCGAATTGAATTGCTCAATTGTAACAAAATATATGTGCGTTCATGACCGATGAAAAATTCGATGTTCATTTGTATGCATCGTTTTCTTGTTCAGCAATCGCGAGGTTGTTAAACAGCATACATTTACTTCCATAGAAAAACACAATACAATACAATACTAGCTGACGTTTGGGCAGTATCACCTTCTTCAGAGCCGCTTTTTTACGTGACTTCCAATGAGGAAGTTTTGAACAGCTGATTATAGTCGCATATGGTTGATGCCTGCACCACCCCACATCAAAAATCGATGCGAACATACGGGGTCAGGTCGCGTATGACCTCTGGGCAGTCCTCCCTGCTATTCATTGTAGGGTTTTTGGCATTGGTCCAAAAAGCCTCAAGGAGTTTTCGCGCTGGTGTTTTACTCTCCTGTGCAAGGATATTGACTTTTACTTCAAAATCGTCTCCGCTATGCTTTTGTATCCTATGCGTGCCTAGTGGTGTACTTTGTCTTAGTTTTCGTTTGCCATCTAGGTGCTCTTTTATACGGATACGCAAAGGTCTACCCGTTTCGCCAATATATTCATCTCCGCAATTGTTACACGAGATCAGGTATATCGTACCTGAACTCATGCAATCACGGTCCCTGCCGTAAGGGCAAATTATGCAATTTGTTGTTTCACATAAACGGTCATGCAGGCGGTTACGAACTAATTGACGACGTAGATTAGCCGGTGGTATTTCAACTATCGCTACCGATTCCTCTAAACCTGCCCTTCTTAAGCATCGTTTTATAGCTGCGCTTACTTCATCGCTTATAAAAGGCAACGTAAACGGGGTGTCCTTTTGCCCAAGTGTTTCGCGTGGGCGCGTCGCTCT